GCGTGATAGTTGTGCATAGATCTATACGGGATTGACAATCCTACACCTAAATTGTTAGTTACAGTTAGACCGACAGGGTCTGGGGTGGCAAATGTCATAACATTTCCAACGCCTGAAGAACGTCGATACAGGCCGACTGGGTCATAGCATGGTTACAATAACTCACATGAGGTATTAACAATAAATACGGTTTACAAGGATTAACAAACACATAAAACGGAGTTTTATTTATATAAAACTACAACATACTATTACAAGTACAGGAACATTCAGACGTTTTCACGTCTTAGGGTAGCTAAGTCTACAATACATTTTACAAGAAAATATTGGATTTTCTAGAAATCATACTCTATCGTTTTACAAGGAAAAACAACATATTTCTCAAATAAAACTTTTGTGAACTCATCAAGTTAATTATTGACATTTATTTCAAAATTACTTGTATTTTCAGGAAATCAGTGAACATGTAACCAACCACTATTGAGGACGGGATGCTAAGGCGTTAGTTCAAAACTCATTTTGTCATCATACTGTAATTTATTTGGAAACATGTAACACTATCAACAATGTAACCTTTTAAATTATATTAATGATGGTTGTGTTTGCTTTCTTTACTACTATTCAACTGTTATGATACCCCACATGAAGTCATCCACCCCTGGACGTTTTCGCCGTTCTGGTTTGGAGGTGTGACAGATTGGTATCAGAGTGTTCTTTATAGTGAACTAAGTATATATCGAACCATATAAGATATACAAACTATAAACATAATGGGACTAAAACTCTCTGACTAAACGATTTTTCACTCAATTATACTTTTAAAAATAAAATGATATTTTTATGAAAAGTATAAGTACATGCATACATGCCGGTATAATGTTATAGTTAGGACAATATAAAAGTATTAAAGGATGAGTTTAATACTACAAGTGAAAAAGAAAGGATTAGCCGGTTTCTTGGGTTTTTCTATTAAAAATGTGAAAAAGTCGGGATTTTTTTGTTCGAAAAATAAAATTTATGATTTTATTAAAAAATTTCTCAAAACATTGAGATTTTTCTAGAGATTTCTCATGTAAAAAAAACCATTAATCACTCTCAATATTATTTATTATATGAACATGTGTAATTTGAAGATTGAAACTTATGAAATTTGAGTGTAAAACAATGTTATTTTATGTAGATATACGTGATGAAGGGTTGCAATATTTTATATGTTAAGTTGTTTTTGAAAATTGGGATATTTTCATTTTCGGTTAATAATCATATTTTAAAATGGATACTTCTATTGTTATTTACAAATTTCTTTTATTAAGCCTTTAGTAAAGTAAGATGCTTAACCGATGACATACTAATTTTAGAGAAATTATAATAAATCACTAATCACTAGTTTTCCATCATAATTGTATTAAAAAAAAAAAAAAAAAAAACTTACAATGAAAAAACCTAATTGTATGCAGTTAGGTTTTTAAGGACTCGTCACTTTTATCTATGGAATCAACATGTTTATCACTCTCTCGTATGTGTCGGAACATTGGCTAGTGATTTTTTTTTATCCATTTCATTTTTTTTGTCATTATTTTTTTTTTCTATTTAAAAAAAAATGAAAACGTCAAAGTTTTAAAATTTAATCAATTAAATAATCATACTCATAAAATTTTGAAAATTAAATATTCTTCTAAAAGTTTATGCTTTTATAAAAAGATTAAACTGTACAAATGGTTCCTATGGTTTTACTTAAAATTGTGACTTTGATCCAAAAAGGTTTGGATTAGTATCAGAGATCTAAAGTTTTGATTTTGTTGCTTCTTTGGTCCAATCTGTTTTAATTTTTTTCAAAATGATGAATTTACTCCTGTTAATATGATTTTCTTTTTTTCTTATTTTTTTTCCTGATTTTCAGATTTTAAAAAAATGAAAAAATAAAATAAAAATAAAATAAATCTCTTTCTCTTATTTATTTTTCTAATTTTTCAGATTTAAAAAAAAAATAAAAAATAAATCTCTCTCTCGTGTGAAAAATATTCGAGCACAATGCTCTTGAACTTGGAACCAACCTTCAATATCTCACTCGCCATAGCAGTCGCTGGAGCCGGAGGAGACGAGGTCAGACCAAGATTCAGGTGCTCGATGAAACACCTGAAAGAAGAAGGATCGTCATCGCCACCACCTTACCCACAACCGCCTTCAACCCTACCTTCAGCCCTCAACGTCTCCGACACCACCAACCTCTGTCAGGAAAATCCTTATCTAAAGACGAAGGGCTCTCTCTCTCTCTATCTCTCTCTCCTTCCCCCCCCCCCCCCCCCCCCCTCGTTAAAGCTTAGTGAACAAACCTGGGTAACAGAGAAGACGCAGGACGGCGAACTAGGGTTTCAGACGCGTCAAGTTTCTCGTTTATATGTTGCATCTATCACACTGGTGTTATGCTTGTCTAATGGTGGTTGTAATTTCTAGTGGGTAGAGGAGGGGATCTTGATCGAACCTTTCATCCCCAAATTAAAAATCCGACTATTATTTCTAACCTTGAAGATGAAGATAATTGTGATTAATTCCATATTTTGGGGTTTCTCCTCAGAATTCCGACATTATTCTTCTGAAATTTCATAGGGCAGGAGACATTAAGTTCAAAAACGATGATGGATTCTAGTGTTCAATCTTTCTGATGATGAAAGTAATCTTTTTATTGATGAAACTATTGTGTTCTTTGATTCCAAAGAACAAAAAATGGATGCAGGTGACTACAACCAATGCACATGTTGTCAGATTTCATTTTTTTTTTTATTTGTCCCACACATGCATCCAAGTTGCACAACTAGTGCTCGAAGCAGAAGATAATGGGGGTGGATAGTTCTATTAAGGTTTTTTGAGAGAGAGAGAGAGAGAGAGAGAGAGAGAGAGAGAGAGAGAGAGAGAGAGAGAGAGAGAGAGAGAGAGGGTTTTGTCTTTTTTAATTTCTTTTTAATTTTTCTTTTACTAAGAAGAATATATAAACAAATACAAAAAAATGAAAAAACAAAAAACAAGGGTAAAATCGTTATTATAAAAAAGTTCAAAGCAAATTGGATCAAACTCGCAACAAAATGAAAAGTTTTGATTTCTGGTGCTAGTCCAAACCTTTTTGTACTAAAGTGACAATTTTCAGTTAACCACGGGGACCATTTGTGTAGTTTTGTCTTAAAAAAAAAATTTAATATAGAATTTGTTTTATAAAACATAGTTTATATCATTTTATATCACATAACTTTCATTTATAATATTTGGATCAAATTTATAAAATATTAAATATTTTAAATCATAATATTTTAGATCAAATCAGTTCCAAACAAAATAAAGTGTTTTTATTATAGATTTTAGTTTATAATATTTTAAATCATAAAATTTTGAATCACTTATTTGGATTGTATAAAATCTTCTTTAAATTATAACAAATTAAGGATTATAATCTTAACAATTTCTCTTTACAAACATAGTAAATATAAGAATATCTTAAATTATGTTATATAGTATTAATTTTGGACATGACTTAGATTGCTAGGAGCAAACAACGCGTTTGTGCGTTTTTCAGACATGGCAATCAAAACGGTGTTATAACGCCTTGTACATTGCTCATTCTCATGTTATTTGATGGTATGTTAAGAAATATTATCAAAGTCACGGGAAGTAACGTGAGAATTAACCAATCAAAAGTCATTATCTCACACACTCTCTCTTTTTATATATATAATTCTCTTTGTATCTCTTAACATGTTATAACATTCATGAGCAGATCCACAATAGAGCCCGAGGTATCCCAGTATACCCCTCAAAAAAATTCGGTAGTATAATTTTTTTTTTAGAAAAATTTCGTTTTATGTAGTGTACATATACATAAAATTAATATGTTTAGCAAGATAATAACACAAGATGTAATGGTTTAGATGGTTAAGGCGTTAAGGGATCTTTCTAGAGGTTGCAACTTCAAATCTTCTTCTAAACATTTATTTTCTTTTATGTTTGCGGCTCCTTTTAAATAGTTTTATACAAATTATACATATTATATTATGATGTTGTGAAAATTAAGGACAAACATTGAGTTGTCCAAGTGGTAAAGTGTTTAAACTTTTAAGTTTGAGGTCTCTCTGTCGAATCATGGTTGTTACATTGGTGTATTTTATTTTGTTTATCAGTTTTTGAATTTGTTTTTTAAAATTTTAAAATTGTCCCACATCGACCATAACATGAAACATAACTCGTATACATCTTTTATATAAGCAACACAAGCTTCTTACAAGTTAAAGTTTTGAATGAGTTTGGGTTTAAACCCGAAACCAAGTTTAGAAAACTAAGAAACCAAACCTGATTTGGAATACCCGTTTACTTTGAACCTGACTCCGCCACTGATAATATTTACATACAATTTTTTACATAAATCAAATGGTGTTAAAGATGACATGACATGTGAGTATCGAATTTTGGAAAATGATAATATATTTTAACATATTGCCCATACCTAGTAGCCTTATGAATGATAACATCTTTCATTTTCATTATATTTGGAGACAATAAAAATATATATATATATATATATATATATATATTCATTTTATAGAAAATTAAATTTAAAACCTTTTGTTTTTTAATTTCTTTTAAATGAAAAAAAAAACATTGACAAAAATCAAATAACATGTGGGAGAGAGGAAATTAATTGATTCCACGTAAGGAATGACGAATATGAAAAACCATCTTTCGTAAAATAAGTTTTTTTTTTTATGTTATTTTTTTGACAAATAAGGTAAAAAAGTAATTACTTTTTACAATTTCTCCAGGGTTTGTTAAATTAAATGGATACAAATAAAAGCTTTGCATTTCAATATATAAAAACAAAAAGCTCGACTTTATATTAATAAGAAAAACGATATACCAAAACAAAAATATCAAACTTTGAATAGCGAAGAGAGTGGTTACAAAAACAGAAACGTAACTCATATTATCATACACGCATATCTCAAATCCAAATCAGCATGAAACTATCATCGCATCAGAATTATGATCGGAAATCCGAGCTCACGGCGTTCGATGAAACCAAATCCGGCGTCAAAGGACTTGTGGACGCCGAAATCACCACCGTTCCCCGTATATTCATCGTACCTTCATCTGAAAATCCAAACTCCGACGAACCACCGTCTCCAGAGCTAAATCTCCCGACCATCGATCTCGAAGGAATCAACGAAGATCCAATCCGGCGAAAGGAGGTGATCGAGCAAGTGAAGAATGCGTTGGGGAGTTGGGGGTTTTTCCAGATGGTGAATCATGGAATTCCCGATAGCATGTTGGAGGAGATAAAAAAAGGGGTTTTAGGGTTTTTTGAACAGGATGATGAGGTGAAGAAGGAGTGGTACAGCAGAGGGGATCGCAGTGGGAAGCTTAAACTTGTGTACAACAGCAATTTTGACTTATACTCTGCTCCTGTGGCGAATTGGAGAGACACTTTTTATTGCCCGATGGCTCCAGATCCTCCTCAACCACATGAGCTGCCTTCTGCTTGCAGGTTTGCTTCCATTTCCATGATTCCATCATCATTTCTCTAAACATTGAAATGAATTTTGTTATTCGAATATTGTTGTCGAGTTTTTTCGAGTCATAAGTCTTGTTTGTTTTTTATTGTGATAAAGTGATAAAATATATTTGAAAAGATGTAGAAATTGCATGAGAAAAGTCTTACTTTAGTTTTTTTATTAATATTAATAACCAGTTTTTATTTTTATTTTTTTTTATTAAACGAAACGACACACTCTATTACATTACAAAAAGAGAGTATGTAACTATGGAAAAAAGGGTAACAAACATAAATTGAGTAATTGACAAATTGTTATATTCATAGGAATCATTATTTTCATTAAACTTTAATCGATCATTATTTTCATTAAAATTTAATCAAAGTAAGGCCACTTTAGAAAAAAAAGAAAAAACCCTTACATAGAAAAACCGTTGATGTCTTTTATTTTTATTTTTTTAATCAAAAGAAAAAACAAATGATAATTTGAATATTTTTCATTTACATAATTTTCTTTTTCATTTAGTTTTATTTACCTTTTAAAATCGTTTAACAATTTAATAATACTTACAATAATATCCGACCGACATAAGTTAGTATCATAGAGGTTTTTTTAGGTAAAACAAAAAATGTAAGTGTCTTCCGAAAAATTCTCAAAATAACACCGAATACGAGTTAAGTTTTCTATTTTTTCTAAGAAAATTAATGTTGTTGCAGAGATATTTTGATGGAGTACTCAAAAGAAGTAATGAAACTTGGAATTAATTTATTCAAATTAATATCCGAGGCTCTTCAGCTCAACCCAGATCACCTCATCAAACTGGGTTGCGCTGAAGGACTTGCAGTCCTCGGACACTACTATCCTCCATGTCCACAACCCGAGTTAGCAATCGGCACCAACACACATACCGACAATACCTTCATCACAATTCTTCTACAAGATGAAATCGGCGGCCTTCAACTCCTTCATCAAAACCATTGGATCAATATTCCGCCTAATCCTAAAGCTCTTGTAGTAAACGTTGGGGATTTATTACAGTTAATTTCAAACGATAAGGTTTTTAGTGCACAACATAGAGTTTTGGCAAATAAGATCGGTCCAAGAGTGTCTATAGCATCGTTCTTTACGACTGGAGACCTTCAGACATCGATGGTGTGTGAGCCGATTAAAGAGTTGGTATCTGAAGAGAATCCTGCAAAATATAGGAGTATAACGGTGAAGGAATATCATGAGCATTTTAACACGAAGGGCCTCAATGGGATATCTGCTCTTTTACGTTTCAAGATCTAGATATGTATACAAGAACTCAAAATATTGAAACATGGTATTTGGTAGGGCCGGTTCTAATGAAGTAAATATCTCCAACGACCCAGGACGAGCCAGAAAAAAAAAACCTTATCATTATTATAAGTTTTTATTTTTAAATAAAAATATATCTATAGTATGTAATAAAAAAAATTAAGCCCTAGACAGTTCTCCACTAGGTTGAGATCTTGTTCGTAGATTTTATCAAATTTCCTTTTAGGCCTTATTTGATATTAAAATATTTTTTATCAGTTAAGTTACTTAATTAAATCTATAATATAAAATAATTGTATTTTATATAAAGTATATAATTTAAATGTAAATATTATATTATAAAACTTCGTGGTTAAATAATAATTTGTTGTTTTTTAATAATTACGCATGTAAAAATTTTAACATCTCTTATATCTTTAAAAGAAAAAAAAAGATCCAGAAACTTTCAAAACAAAATCAGAAACAACTAAACAATAAAACATACATACTTGTTTCTTGAATCAATCACGATATCAGAATAACTAACACTTACCTAACTAGCTTCTATGGCTGCCAAGAAATATATATTGTAAATGTAATATAAGACCAAGAGCAAGAAGCCTCGACTCTATAAGACTATAACGATAAGAAAACTTTGGACCTACACCTTTTCTTCCATAGTGGATGCTCTCTCTAAAGGTAAGGTGACATTTGTGAAGTGATTATATGAACATGTATTCTTCTTACGGGGTGGCCAAATGAATAAGAAATGATGAATGATTTGAAAGGGTAATTAATTATGTTCTATATACATCTTTTGGTCAGTTTTTTATTACACGATTTAAAATTAAGGTTAATGATATTGTCTGTTGTCTCTCAATGAAATTTCGGTTTCGAACGTATGTTCTGGTTTTATAGGGGTATAAACTGACTTTTGTCAGGTTTAAATTGTCCTTTTGCAAATTATGAAAAGGTAACTCGGTTAACTCTTGCAACTCTTGGCGGACGCTTCTCTTACCCAATTCTCCTTTAGTAGCGCCGATAACGGTTCTCTATTATTCAGTTTTGAATAAGACAAAAGCATCACAAATGGAGAGTTTTTCTGCATCTTCCTCCGTATCGTGTTTCATAGCTATTAAACCCAATAAAAACCTTGCTTCCGTGTTGCGCACTTCTATTTCTGCTAGCATTTTCTCATGTTTGTTATCAAATCAACTTCAATGACGATAGATCTTGCTCATAGAGGGACTCAAATGAACGAACATCTTGACTTGTTGGGGTCACAAAACTGATATGCTTTCTCCTTTTTGTTGACCACCCATTCAGATTCCCATGTGATTTGGTTGCTGGTGGAGGCAAGGAATAAATAGTGTTTGATTTAGATATATCAGCGGTTTGTGAAATGTCCGATACAGTGTCAAGATTATTAGCGAACAAATAGTGCCCGATCCTCTATATCAGTTAAAATACAAAAGTAAATGGTATTTGATATTGATTTTCAAAACAATTTATTGACTTATTGGCTTTTTGAAAAGTCATTAAGTTAAAAAAAAAATGTATGGCAAACTTAAAAGCATTTTTCAAAAAAAAAAACTTTTTCATTAGCTTTTAAAAGCAGATTATAAAAAACATATAAAACTTGTCTTGTTGAAACTAATTTTTGGCTTTTAAGCAAAATAGCTTCAACAATAAAATTTTAAACCAAACATTTTTTAACTTATTAATTTATTGGTTTTTTTCAACATAAAAACTAATCCAATCACTTTTAAAAAAAAAAAAAAAAATTTACCATCACTATAAGTTAATAAACACTTATGTTTAAAAGATTTTTAAAATTCAAAAAATAATCCCAAACACTATAAGTAGTTCGACATAAACTCCATAAATGAACTCATAAATTTTCAAAAACTCAAAGGCGCCAACATAGGGATAACAATGATGTGGAAGAAAGAAGGAAACTTCTGATTGAACAACTTTAGACATAGTAGTTTGCCGGCCTCTTCTCATATTTCTTGATCCCCCCGATGCCCTCATTTTTTCACCACCCTTTTTTCCGAAATATAGGGTTCTTTAAGTCGTATCTTAATTATATTTCAAGATCAAAGCAATTAAGATAAAGGAGGAGACTCCCCTTTTTGCTTCCTATCGAAACTTTGCATCAATCTCCTTGTTGAGGTTGTTGGTGGGTAAGGTTTTTAATGGAAGTACTGAAGATGAAGAAAATATAAAACAAGATATGACATTTCAGGTCTATAATTAAGCCCAGAAGACGAATTAATGTGATTATGTAATTGTCACCGTAGATTAAAGAGCAGATGTAGTAGTAATATGTTTTCCTAGTTCAACATAGATGAAAGACGCAATTAGATTGACAGTAGATTTTGGAAACTCTTTATATCTTTTCCTAAGAAAGCTTTTGTAAGCATATCGGGGTTTATACATTGTTGCAAGTGAATGTGACGAATGAGCCCACCAAGGCAACCACTTATGACAATTTGACCACTTCATTGTTTATAAGCCTACATGGGTATAAAATCGATTAGGTATGAATTAAAAAAAAAAAAAAAAAAAAAAAAAAAAAAAAAAAAAAAAGAGAAGGTTAACATCCACTTTATGCCCCCGTAAAACCGGTTATATTAAAAGAAAAACGTTTATAACTACAATTTTATTGTCCAATAAACATTATTTTGACCTACAATAAGCAGTGTATCCGGTTTCCAACAAATGTTGTTACCACTTTTAATGTTGTCAACTTCCGATTATTCTATTTAATTGATTTTCTTTGCACATTTTCAACTTCAAAAATCAAATAACAAAATGTGAAGACATCAATGTCTTTTTAGTTCATTTTTATACTTGGTTTTGAAGAGCATCCCTTCCTCGTCGAACTCAGCTCCTCCTCACCAAAGCAATCATCGTTTCACTAATTTCACAATTGTACTTTTGTTGTTATTCAAAAACTAAGTTTATAACTATACGATTTAAATCATTATTAAGTAAGATTTATGATCTATTTTAGGAATTAACAATATTTATTTCTTTATTGCCCATCCTTTATTACCATCTCACAACCAATCATCATTTCCAGCGACGAGGTAAACTTATCACTCCCTATGTTTTCTCATTTTCTCTCACAAAAGCCTCACCATCCTCATCATCTTCTTCCATATGAAGATGAAACCATCATTGAAAGAGGAAACCCTAATCTAAAATCATCATCAATACCCATTGTCTTTTACAAATGCAATAATCCTTCAAAAAATTCCCACTCTTTCCATTTGGAATCTGTAGTCTTAGGGGATATTTGGCAACCTCTGAATGGAACAATGTGGATGTCACGTATAAGTCAGTCATCAATTAGCACGTAGGGTGTTGGGTAGTGGCGGACGCAGAACATTTGAAGATGGGTGTCACTCGTATACGAAGGTGGTGCACCTAACATGATTTTTTTATTTTTTTATTTTTTTATTTTTTTATTAATATTTTTACACTATGGGGCAGAATCGGAGCAGTGGCACAGAACCCCAAATGCTCTTCATAGGTCCGCCACTGGTGTTGGGTTTAGCCTCCGATTGACCTTTGAATGGACCAAAAACCTTAGAAACTTCATTTGAGGGTTATTTCTTGTAATCGTAAAGAGATTTTAACTATTGAGTCCAATATTTAACAAAAATTACCAAACAATCCCTTAGATTTAGATATTTGGGATTCACAATGGAGATAAATCAAAAACTAAAAATGGGTTCTTTTGGGTTAGCATTTTCTTTTTAGATAGTCAAATATGTATAGTTGAAATGACTACATATTCTTTTATATGTTTTCAAAATTTTGAAAATCACCAATGTTTCTTTGACTTTATGATTGAAGATGAAAAGTAACAAAATAAATCACCAGAAACTAGCCAAACTAATTGTTGTCGGTTAAAATTGTATTTATCAAATAGAAAATGTCATTTATACATTGATTAAATGTAGGGATGAAATTTAGAACCTGAAAATTGGACCAGAACCGGAATATGTAAAACTGGTCCGAGTTCTGGGTTTAAATAATGGCTTTTATCCGGGTTCCGGGTAATCCAGGTTTCGGGTCTAGGTAAACCTGGTTTAAGAACCAGAACCGTGTTAGGAACCAAAACCGGTTTTAAGGGCCGAAACCGGTTTATATGAAAAGTTCAAAATATGCATATCTTATTTGTTTGAGGTCGGATTGGCATGAAATTTTTTTCTGGAGTGTAATTCATAGTTTATATATTATTTTATAATATAATTTTGTCACTTTTGAGTTAATATTCATTGATTTACAGTCCATCAAAGTCCGGATATCAAAGTTGGACATATTATGTTTTTCAGATTTTTTTTGTGTATATCTAATTCGTTTGAAATCGGAATAGCATTTGGTTTTTCCAAAATGTAGTCTAGAGTTTGTACATAATTTTAGACTACAATTTTGTTATTGTTTGTTTCATATTCATTGACTTACAGCCCCCGAAAGTTGGGATATCAAAGCTGTGAATTTTCTGTTTTTCAACTTTATTTATATATTTTGTTAAATTTTAAAAATGCATATCTAATTCGTTTGAAGTCAGATTATAATGAAGTTTTTTGCAACGTACAACTTAGAGTTTATACATGATTTTGAACCATAATTTTGTCATTTTTGGTTTAATATTTAATGACTTATAATCCCTAAAGTTGGAAATATCAAAGTTGAAAATTTTTAAAGTTCAACCACTAAATAATTACCAAAAAAAATTAGAATTTCTTGGGTTTTCGGTTCTAGACCCACTTTACCCGATTCCACCGACCCAATGTTTCTGGATATTCTGATTGTAGACCCACTTTACCCGGTACCTTACACGAAACCTATACCAATCCTACAAAATCCGGTTAACTAGATCCCGATTTTTCTAGAGCCAGATATACCGGTCCTGGTTTTGACCCATTCTTGTCCTTAATTAAATGTACCATAGCATAACTTGTTACCTCCCAAAACATTAACCCAACATTAAACTAAAAAAATAAAAATAAAAATCTTAATTTCAACAAAAATAGAATATAATCATTTATATTCGTAAAATATACTTATTTAACACATCAGCTATGTATAAAATTAAAAAAAAAAAAAAAAAATATTTCAAGTTCTGATTTATTTATTTATTTATTTTTTTATTAATCATTGAACGTAGTCATGTTCGAATGAGTGGTGGCACTTGGCAGCATATTCTCATATATTAGACTTTGCATGCCATCATTTTCGCAAAAATCAAAAATGGCTGCTGCCACCGCGTCGGACGTCTCAGGCTACGATCGACCAACGGAACTCAAAGCTTTCGACCAAACAAAAACTGGTGTTAAAGGCCTCGTCGATGCCGGAATCTGCCAAATCCCTCGCATCTTCATCCACCCACCGGAAACCACCTTCAAAACCTCCACAACTTTCGAGATTCCAATCGTCGACCTTGGATCAACCGATAGGGCATCGACGGTGGAGAAGATCCGTGCGGCGTCGGAGAATCTAGGTTTCTTTCAAGTGGTGAATCACGGGATCCCTGTGAGTGTTATGGACGAGATGCTTCAAGGAGTTCGTAGATTCCACGAACAAGATATGGAGGTGAAAAAACGAATATACTCGAGAGATTTTTCCAGAAGCGTCGTGTATAATAGCAACTTCGATCTTTACAGTTCCGCCGCCGCGAACTGGAGAGACACATTCTATTCATTTATGGCTCCGTCACCTCCACCGCCTGATGAATTGTCGGAAGTTTGCAGAGACATACAAATCGAGTATTCAAATCAAGTGATGAAACTAGGAAGCTTACTCTTCCGATTGATCTCAGAGGCTTTAGGGTTGAATGCAAATCATTTACGAGATTTGGATTGTGACAAAGGGCTTGCATTCCTCGGCCATTGT